ACTGGGGGAAAAGACCTTGGCTATTCACCCTATCCATACCCCTCATGGTTTTATAAACATCTATAAGGTCACCCCTCAGCCTCCGACGCTCCGGGGAAAACAGCCCCAGCCTCTCCCTGTAGCTCAAACCCTCCAACATCCTTGTAAATCTTTTCTGAACCCTTTCAAGTTTAACAACATCCTTCCTATAGCAGGGAGACCGGGATTGATTCCAAAAGTGGCCCTAACCAATGTCCTGTACAGCCGCAACATGACCCTCCCAACTCCTGTACTCAATGCACTGACCCATAAAGGCAAGCGTACCAAACACCGTCTTCACCGCCCTGTCTACCTGCGACTCCACTTTCAAGGAACTATGTCCCTGCACTCCCCAAGGTCACTCTGTTCAGCGACACTCCCCCAGGACCTTCCCATTAAGTGTATAAGTCCTGCTCTGATGTGCCTTTCCCCAAAACGCAGCACCTCACATTGATCTAAATTAAACTTCATCTGCCCCTCCTCGGCCCCATCTGTAACCACCTTCGCTGCCTGCCAAGCCTGGTGTTGTCTGTAAACGACACCCCGTAGGTTCACGTCCACAACACAACCCCTCCCCAACCATCTCCGTCTTCCCCCGCCCATCATCATCACCGCTGCCAACAACACCTTAACCGGCACCATCCCGCCACCCTCACCGTCGTGTTCGATGCCGCGGGGTGCAGCCTCTGATTCGTTGGGCCTTGCGGGCATCAGAACCCACTGGGCCGTGCCCCCGAAGGTCGCGGGGCGTCAGTGGCGGGGAGGGTGGTGGATGTTTGGGAGGGGAGCGGGCGTTTACGTTCCCTGTCTGGCCGGGGATGGTGGCTCGCTCCCCTCGAGGATGTTGCGTCTCGCAGCCTCTTCTCGGTGTTAACCCCGTTTTCCACCCCCCCCTCCCCCACGCAGGGTGATGTGGCGAGACTGGGTGACCACGCGGGCGCTGCTTGTCCAGCTGATGGGCTGCAGGGCCTACTCGGGCCTGGTCGACTTCGACGAGCACTTGGACGACATCCACCGGGATTGGGCCAATGCCCCCATCAACAAGAGGATCGGGGCCCTCTCCCCCACCGCCAACGGCAGTGCCTGAACGCAGACACCCCCCCCCTTGCCCCCTCCCTTCCCCTTCCTGCCAAGAACACCACCACCCCCCCCCTCCCCCCCGCCACCCCTGCAACTCATACCCCCCCTGGGAAGCAGGGGGCTCAGACACTGCGGGAGGTAGAGCTGGAGGGTGGGGTTTGCAGGTCTGTAAAGTGGATGTGCCTCCTCCCCCACCAAACAAAGGGCCAACAGCACCGTCTGCCCACCGTCTCTCCCATTCTCTCTCTCTCTCTTTCTCTCTCTCTTGTCTCTCTCACTCTCTCTCTGTGCAAGGGTTAAGAATAAAAATGCCGCTGTTTGTAACCTGGGCCAATGCAGGTGTTTGTTCTCGTTTGCTCTTCCCGAGCCTGGCTCGGGGTTCACCCCCCCCCCCCCCCCCCCCCCCTTCCCGTCCCACACACACCACCCCCCCCCCCCCCCCCCCCCCCGTCGGTGCGTTCCTACTCTGCAACGTTTGGAGAGACACATATGCACACGTGCACTCATGCACACCCTCACGCACACACACGTACACACTCACGCGCACTCTCTCTCACGCTCGCGCACACACACACACTCACGTGCACTCACTCGTGCATGCACACACATGCTCACATACACACCCATAAATGTGCACTCTCACATGCACTTTCATGCAAACACGCACTTGCACACACATGGGCACTCTCACTCATGCGCTCATGCACATGTGCACTCACACATGTATGCACACGCACGCATACACATGCACGTGCACTCACACGCATACATGCACACACATATGCTCATGCATGCACTCACACATATGTTCACATATGCACTCATGCACTCGCACACGCACGTAATCTCACACGCGCACTGGTGCACTCAAACACTCACATGTGCACACTCACACAGGCATGCACGCACATGCACTCTCTCACACGCGTGCACGCACACACACAGTCGAAATGCATTCTCGCACAGACATGCTGGGTGCAGTCACACAGTAAGGATAAACAAGGGAAACACACGCAGGGAAAACTGCAGTTTGTCTTCAGTTGTTGACACCGGGACTGTGCGTTCATTTTCCATCAGCTCATTTTAATTAAATATTTATTCGCTCACTGTATATCAACGCCCGTGGCTAGGCTCCCAGTGTTCGCTGCCCGTCCCTAATTGCCCTCAAGTAGCAGTGAACCGCTGCAGTCTGTGTGCTGTAGGGTAGCCCCACAATGATTCGGGCGTGTGCTGGGAGGGGGAGCTTGCAGGGGGCTGGTATTCCCATGTTTCTGCTTCCCCCTTGTCCTCCTGGATGGTAGAGGGGCAGTGGGGGTTTGGAAAGTGCTGTCTGAGGGGGCAGCACAGCGGGGGAATGCAGGGTTACAGTGATAGGGTAGGGGAAGGGTCGGGATGCTGTTTGAAGGGTCAGTACAGACTCGATGGGCCGAATGGAAGGATTCTATGAGTCGTTCGATAGGTAAAGGCAGTCTGCCTTGTGCACCAGGCTCATTAATGACCTCTAATGTGTCCTCAGAGATGATCAGCAGTTACATCCGAGAGAGTGTGTGTGTGTTAGAGAGAGAGAGAGAGACAGACTGGTGCATTTCCCTCCCAGTCTGGGGATAGAGCTTGTAGATATTTTCAAGCTGATCACTGGGGATGAGGTAATGTGCAAACGGTCCATTCAGAATATCCATCGAAGATTGATGCTTTCCCTCAAGGGAGGACAGTCTTTCAGGTGAAGCCCTAGCTCCTGATGTACACTAGCCAGACTCGGAGCCAGGCTAGAGACTGTTTGGCACAGAGAGAGAGAGCTGCGAGAGAAAGAGACCTGTTATACAAAACGACGGAGCACAGGAGAGAGGTCGAGCAGGGGAAACAAGCGTGATAGAGAGAGCGAGAGAGGGGCAGAGAAATTGACTGGGGAAAACAAGTATGATAGAGTGAGAGAGGGAGAAAGTGGGTAGGGGGAAACGAGTGTGATAGAGCGAGAGAGAGGGAGAGACAGAGAAATTAAGTAGGGGAAAGCGAGTCATAGAGAGAGAGACCGAGAAAGTGGGTAGGGGACAACAAGTGTGATAGGGAGAACGAGAGACAGACAGAGGGAGAGAAACGATTACGACGGGGAGAGACTGAGAACTGTCACACGAGCCGACAGAGTGTCAGAAGCGGTGGGGAGGACAGAGCGAAAGAAAGGGAGAGTGAGCCAGACAGGACGGGGAAGGTGAGAGAGAGGAGTGGGAGGTGAGGGGATAGCCAGACGGCGATCATGAGGACGTGAGGCCGGGGGCGCGCAGGAGAGAAGTTGAGAGGGGGGGTGGGGGGGGGGGTTTCAGAAAGGCGACAGACGGTGAGGCGACAGAGGGCGGGAAACGGCCATGTCCCGGGAGGCACCTCCCCCTCCCTCCGACATTCCCCGAAACCTCAGCTACATCTCGGGCCTCTACGAGAGAGCCTTCTACGCATCGCAGAGGCCTAGCGCTCAGGAGGAGGAGGATGAAGAAGAGGAAGCGGAGGAGGAGGAGAGGAGGGGCAGGCTGATGGCAACGAGCCGAGGCAGCAGGAGGAGGAAGAGAAGTCCCAGGGCTCGCTCGCTCCCAGCTAGGCCCGAAGCCTGCCACAGCAGGAGCCCCGACTCCCGCAAAAGGGTACGCTTTGCCGACTCGCTGGGCCTGGAACTGGCCTCCGTCCGTAGCTACAGCCGCTGGGAGGCTCCACGGGTCCCCGGACACGTGCAGGCCCAGGTCCAGAAGGACGCCATCCGCCATTTCCAGAGCCACTGCGGAGGGCTGACCTTCAAGGTGAGGAGGAGGGGAGGGGATGGTGGTGTGTTGGGGGGGGGGGGGGCGCGGTTGGTGGTCGGGGGAAACGCGTGGGTTGTCCCCGTTCGGCCTCGCGCAAGAGTTGAGAGAAACGGGCAGGTGTAGGCCATTTGGCCCCTCGGGCCTACTCCGATGGCCGACAGCCCACGGGCCGTCTACCATAGGCAGGGTGGAGAATCCCGACAGTGAGGAGGCAGATCATTCAGCCTGTCAAGTCTGCACTGACCCCACGGAAGGGCGTCCCAACCCCACCCACCCTAACCCTGTAACCCCGCATTTCCCATGGCTAACCCACACATCCCTGGGCACTATGGGTAATTTCCCATGGCTAACCCACACATCCCTGGGCACTATGGGTAAATTCCCATGGCTAACCCGCACATCCCTGGGCACTATGGGTAATTTCCCATGGCTAACCCACCCTAACCTGCACATCCCTGGGCACTATGGGTAATTTCCCATGGCTAACCCACCCTAACCCGCACATCCCTGGGCACTATGGGTAATTT